GCTGAGCCATGCTGGCTCAGGAATTCTGGGAGTTGAAGTCCACGAGTCATAAAAGAGCCAAGGTTGCCTACCCCGGTATAAGGGTTTCCTGCTTGAGCAGGGGGTTGGGCTAGAAGACCTCCAAGGTCCCTTCCAACTCTTATTATTCTATATTCTGTTCTGCATGATTTTTTTTTGCTTTCACATGACTCCTTGAACTTCCTGGCTGTGGCCTCCAGATCCTTAGTTGCATCAGAAATGCTTCAAATTCTGATAGGAATGAAAAGCTTTATAATACATTAATGTTCTTATGAGTTAATTCTTATGCCACTGTTTGAAGATTCCAAAAATCTGCTTTGACATATCCACAGTGAATACAATTTTACAACCCGGGGCAGAGGGTGAATATGTTCCTCTCTAGACTTTTTAAGAGCTTGGCACTCAGGACGGGATAGGAAGCTAACTCGAGTAAACCTTTAGATGAGCAGAACAGACTAGTAAATGTTTCTGTAACTAGGACAGCCTCGTTCCTTTATTTTCAAGCTGCCAGTTGTATAACGAATGACTAATATAAACAGGAAAAGGGTTGTGAATGACTAGCTTTGTGGAGACTTACACTGAAAGATGAATCTGAAGGATGTTTCTGGTCTGGTCTGTAGGTCAGGGTGGGAAAAAAATGCACCTTATACCAAAATGACTTACCCAGCCTAAAGTTATATGCAATTCTTAAGAAACGTGGAAGTAACAATTGGCAAGTGCTGCTTGGCACAGGGCGAAAATGGGAGGTAAAATGGTTTCTCTAATATTAGAAATATTTTCATGTTTATTGCCTTCCTGGAATAAACCGCAGTGATATTTGGGGCTAGGAAACCTAGAGTTTGTGGAAGGATTAATTTTCCCTCCTCCAGGGAGCGCGACGGCTCAGTGGTTAAAGATGCTGATTGTCATTGGAAAGCTGACATCCCAGGTTCAAGGTCTGAGCGCTGTGTGATGGGGTGAGCTCCCGTTCCTTGGCTCAGCTCCTGCCCATCTAGCAGTTCAAAAGCATGCAAATGCGGGTAGATAAGTATGTACCACTTTGGTGGGAAGGTAACGGCATTCCTTGCACTTCGGCGAACCACATGACAAAGGAGTTGTCTTCGGACAAAGCTGGCTCCCCCAACATGGAACACTGCCCCCTAGAGCTGGACACAACTGGACAGGGGAAACCTTTACTTTTACCTTTTACCTCCAGGGGGCCTCAAATAGCAGTTTACTTAAGACACAGTTGTAGCGTTTCAGTGTATCGCCTCCTTGTTAATCCAGACCGGTATGCTTTATTTAATATTTATTCATTAAATTTATGTGCCAGTGCCACACATCTTCTCTAGAGATGACTCTGGGCAGCGTAGACACATTAAAACTACTACACATTAAAATAATGAAGCAAAAAAATAACAATAGTAATAAATACTGTTAAAAGATGGAGTGGAGGGGAAGATAGTTCTCGACTCACAACTACATTGGGTACCAATGGGGTCTAGAATGTCTGTAGCTAAACAGGCAGTTGTTTAATTGACTTGTGCCTATTTTATAGCCTTCCTTTTGCTATGAGATTTAAGTGAATCACTGCGGTGGTTAAGTGAATCACTGCAGTTGTTAAGTGAATCACATGGTCATTAAGCAAATCTGGCTTCTCCCATTGACTTTTTGCTTCTTGGAAGCCAGCTGGGAAGGTGAAAATGGCAATCGCATCAACCCAGGATGCTGAAATCATCGTAAATCCATGTCAGTTGCCAAGCATCCAAATGTTGATCCCATGGTTGTAAGTATGTTGTAGGTTGTAAGTATGAGGACTAGTCGTGCCACTTTTTTCAGTGCTGTTGTAACTTTAACCAGATGCTAAATAAATGAGGATTGCCTGTATAAATAGTAGTTCAACATGGATCGCCTAAATCTTCTGCTACTACATGACTCCCAAACGTTTAACCAAGTTTCTTTCTGCGCATTTTGTCGGGTTGCCAAGGAAATATTCATAAGGTCTCTTTTTTCTTCCCCCTCTCATGTTTGTGTTCTTTCAGTTGCATTTTTTCCTTCTCTTTACACTGTTCCACATATTTTGGGATAGGGAAGAAGGATCCCTTGGTTTCCTAGACTGACCGCAATAGCATTCTTTTTTTAAAACCTCATTTATATTGGAAAAGTAAAGATTTCCTCTGTCCAGTTGTGTCCAATTCTAGGACATGGTGCTTATCTCTGTTTCTTGGCCAGTGTTGTCCGAAGACAATTTTCGTCATCATGCGGCCAACATGGATATACACCAAAGGCACATAGAATGCTGTAACCTTCCCACCAAAGTAGTACCTATTGATCTACTCACATTTGCATGCTTTTGAACAATTCAAAAGCATTTATATCGAAGTTCCCCTAGATAGGAGCAGAGATGGTGCAAACATCGGACCATCTGAAAACAAACTTGGGTAATCAGAACAACTTCGCAAGAATGATTATTTTGGCCTGTCCACTGAATGTTTTCTCCTTACGTTTAAAAAAAACCAACAACTTAGAAAAGCATTGTAACTTCTGAGACACGCTGTGGAATGGTATCTTTACCTACCAGCAGTTTCCAATCATTTCCTTTAATGCAGGCCACTGCATCCTCCAAAGCCGTGGAGACCACCCTTGTGAGCAAGTTGTTTTAAGTTTGTCTCTCTTGAGCAAGTTAGATAACAGTCCTTGCTCCGTGTCCTAACCACACAGTGATGCATAAAAAGCATTGGGTCACAATGATACTGCACAAAGAGCTGCTCTTAAAATTCAGAGGAAGTTGGGTTGTGAATGTTTGTGAGTCAGTAGCATTTCATATAATCATGTCATCTCCAGTTTACTCACCTTCGTGAATCGACAGAGGTTCGTGGAGTACCTATTGGAGGTGACAACATAAAAATTGGTTGCTTGATGGAGCAAAGTACGAGTAGCCCTCGACTTTTGGGCAAAATTGAGCCTAAAACATATAAGCAAGACTGTTATTAGGTGAATTTTGCTCTATTTTACAACCTTTCTTGTCACAGTTGTTAACTGAACCACCTACAGTGGTTAAGTTAGTAACATCGTTGTTAAGTGAACCTTCCCCATTGACTTGGCTTGTCAGAAGGTCATAAAATGGGATCACATGACCCCAGGACACTGCAACGGTCATAAATGTGAGTCATTTGCCAAGAATCTGAATTTTGATCACGTGACCCTGGAGACGCTAAAACGGCCATGTGTGGGAAAAACGGTCATAAGTCATTTTTTTCAGCGCCATTGTAACTTTGAACGGTCACTACATGAACTGTTGTAAGTCGAGGACTGCCTGTAAATGCATTTCACCAAGAACGGTAAACATTGTGTGCTAAGCCTGGAAAATAAAAATCCTTAGAAATGGCTTCCCCATTGACTTTGCTTGTCAGAAGGTCGCAAAAGGGGATCACGTGACCCCAAACACTGCGACCGTCATAAGTACGAGTCAGTTGCCAAGCGCCTGAATTTCGATCACGCGTCTGTGGAGATAACCGCAACACTAGTAAGTGAGAAAAGCGGTCCTAAGTCACTTTTTTCCCAGTGCCGTTGTAACTTCAAAATATCACTAAACAAATTGTTGTAAGTCGAGGACTACCTGTAGATTAAGTGCCCAAGCACGCATACTCACTCTGCTGTCCCTTTCAAGGCAGTGCAGAAAAGAAGAAGCTGCAAACCCAAAAATTAAAGAGAAAAGGAAAGGAAGTAGGTTAAATCTAGTTCCCATCAATTTCATTTACCGTGACTTTTATTTTTGCTAAACATTCCCGGCCATTACATTACTACACAAATTGCTTTCTGTCCTTAAAATTTCTTCTCTCCTTTTGAGTCCAGTCCAATCCCAAATTTTTTACTCCTCCTTTCTCAGATTGTTCACTCTTCCTTCATGTAGTTATCATGCTTACCGTCGTTGCAGCATCCTCCAGGGTCACGTGATCAAAATTCAGGCTTTTGGGTACTGACTCACTTTTATAATGGTCGCAGTGTCTCCGGGGTCATGGGATCCCCTTTTGCCACTTTCTGACAAGCAAAGATAATGGGAGGCCAGATTTGCTTAACAACCGTGTTACTAAAACAACGGCAGTCATTCCCTTAACAGTGGCGAGAAAAGTCATCAAATGGGACGCAACTCACTTAACAAATGTTTCACTTAGCTTATTTTGGGCTCAATTGTGGTCATTAATTGAGCAGTGCCTATAGGCCAGGGATCTTCAAACTTGGGCCTTTGATGATTTGTGGACTTCAACTCCCAGAATTCCTCAGCCAGGCATGCGTGCCTGGCTGAGGAATTCTGGGAGTTGAAGTCCACAAGTTATAAAAGGGCCAAGTTTGAAGACCCCTGGCCTATAGTATTATCAATATAAGTAATCAATAATGACTGAGATGGACAGCTATAGAAATTGGATGGATGGATGGATGGATGGATGGATGGATGGATGGATGATAAACATCAGATTTGGTCTGCAGAACTCCAAGTGGTGACCTCTAGATAAATAAGGATGATGATTTTCTGTGTATCTCTGCTGCCCTGTCTAGTGACAGGTCCAAATATTTGCAGACCAGATCTGGTAGTCCTCATACGTGAATTTCCTCTAGGGTTAGGATTATTTTAATGGTGATGTCTCCATTAACACAACTCCGTTAATACGTCTCCTTGCTTGTTTTGTGTACACAAACTTCCATCTCCATTTGTTTTCCAATTTCCATTTAAAAGGAGTTTGGATAGCCAGCAAGGAAACATGTTTGGAGAGCAGTTTCCAAGCAGAATAGCTAGGTAAATAGGCCAGTGGTCCAATTCTGTATTTGTATATTTAATAATATATGTGTAAGTTATTAAATACAGATACAGGGCTATATTTGAAAAGCCAGGCTGTTCATGGCCATCTCCACAGAAAATGCGCCCTGACCTTGTGCAAATAAATAAACAGTAAATGGAAATTAGTTCTGCAGAGGCCTTCAAACTTTTCTCTTTCGACTTGCAGAATGACGACCTTCGAAATCTCGCCCTGTCAGGCCATGTCGGCTTTGATAGCCTCCCTGATCAGCTGGTGAACAAGTCAACCTCACAAGGTTTCTGCTTCAACATCCTTTGTGTTGGTAAGTCATACTCATGAGGCTCCACTGAAGCAACTTTCTGCGTTATTTCCAAATGCAGCAAGCTACGTTCGTGATACAGAATTCCTTCCTCTTAAAGATAACCATGTGTAAGGCAGGAAGCTTCAGCAGGCATATATTAATAGGATCTGTGCCAACGCCTGTGTTCACAGGAAGGGCAAATGACATCACACCATACATATCATGCCAATGACATCATTATGGTGCAAAATGATGCGAGTCCACAATTTGGCATCGTTTGCAAAATCATGGCCTGGACCAAACTCCTCAAATGATCCCAGGACAATGCAGCCCATCATAAATGTAGGCCACTTGCCAAATATCTACATTTTGATCACATGACCACAGGGATGCTGCAACTGTCAAAATTATGAAAAATGGTCAAAAGTCACCTTTTCCGGTGCCATTGTAACTTTGAACGGTCACTGAATGAATGATTGTAAGTTGAGAAGTTGAGACTCTAGAAAGAGTACAGAGAAGAGCAACAAAGATGATTAGAGGTCTGGAGGCTAACGGTCACTGGAATTGGGTATGTCTAGTTTAATGAAGAGAAGGACGGGGGAGGACATGATAGCCGTGTTCCAGTATCTCAGGGGCTGCCACAAAGAAGAGGGAGTCAAACTCTTCTCCAAAGCACCTGAAGGCAGGACAAGAAGCAATGGATGGGAACTAACCAAGGAGAGAAGCAACCTAGAACTAAGGAGAAACTTCCTGACAGAACAATTAATCAGTGGAACACCCTGCCTCCAGAAGCGGTGAATGCTCCAACACTGGAAGTTTTTAAGAAGAGACTGGACAGCCATTTGTCTGATATGGTATAGGGTTTCCTGCCTCAGCAGGGGTTGGACTAGATGACCTCCAAGGTCCCTTCCAACTTTATTATTATTATTATTACCTGTGATCATTGTGAAACTCCTAGACTTTTGAAACTTGGAATACTATCCGTTTTCTTCTTTTAATTTTTGACAAGTCTGAGTAGGTCAGTATCCTTCTGCACTCAACTTGAATGTGCTCTGCCCTGAGTTATTTTTTTGCTGTTGACTGCCCTAACTTTTATCTCTGCTTAGTTCTAATTTTTCAAACTAGGCAAGTTTAAGATGAGTGGGGTTTAACTCCCAGAATTCCCCAGCCAGCATGCAGGTTAATACTACTGCCATTATTAAAAACACTTATATAGCTGCCTCTTTTTAAGAGACAGAATTCTGGGCATCCACTGCTGAGATACAAAACAAAAACATTCTTAAAAGAAATAAAATAAAAGCAAAGTAATTGAAGCATAAAACCTAGTACCGCAGGCAATTTCAGCCAATGCGGCACCCCATTTCAGCACGTAGGGATTATTTCTAAGCATAAGCCCTCAAACTTCTCTTCAGCAAATGTTATTAAGCCTTTTGATACAAGAATTCAAGTGAGTGAACTAATTTCTGTTTGCAACTAGTATATTTATCTGTACGTTAGGGCAAAGACTTTCAGAACTGTTATTCCAGCTTTATGGTGCTCTGGAATGGAGGCCAGGACCTTCTCTGATAAAGAAGGAATCCACAGTAATGCATTATTTACGTAATGGTTTCCTGACTGCTTATCAGTCTGAGAAGCAACTTCTACAACCCAAATTATAACTGTAAAGCAGCATCTGGATCTGCTGTTTTTAAAAGCAGAGGGTGAAGTCCTGCATTTTTAATGCCTCCTTGTTTCTAAGCTATCTTTTGTTTAGAAAGTTGGCATAGTACGGAGAACAGTCCTAGATAGATGTTTTCCTTGTGGTTATAATCCTCCACATGCAGAGAATTTTATTCCTGTTAAATGGGGGAAGCATTTAAAAAGTGTAATAATTCACTAGAGTTTAGACTTTTTTCATATTCCTCTGCTTTAATATGAATAGATTAGAATAGAATAGAGAATAGAGAATAGAATAGAGAATAGAATAGAATAAAAAATAGAATAGAATAGAAGTGGAGAGTGGAGTAGAGTAGGGTAGAGTAGGGTAGAGTAGAGTAGAGTAGAGTACTTTATTTGTCCTAGTGTGATTAAACTCACAAGGAATTTGTCTCTGGTGCATAAGTGCAGCACAAGAAAAATCAGTGATGTAAAATATTCTCCAGAACATATTTGAGTGTTTTAATCACATGAGCACATTTCAGATGCCTAAAGAATGTGGAGTTTTTGAGTGGGATGTTTACAGGTAGTCCTTGACTTACAGCCATTTGTTTAGTGACCATTTGAAGTTACAACAGTGTTGAAGAAAGAAACTTATGACTGTTTTTTACACTTAACGATCATTGCAGCATCTCTGTGATCAACATTCGAATGCTTGGCAACTGGCATGTACTTATGACGGTTGCAGCGTCTCAGGGTCCCATGATTCCCTTTTGTGACACTCTGACCAGCAAAGTCAATGGGGAAGCCAGATTCATTTAACAACCATGCTACTAACTTAACAATTGCAGTGATTCACTTAACAACTGTGGCAAGAAAGGTTGTAAAATGGGGCAAAACTCACTTTAACAACTGTCTAGCTTAGCAATGAAAATTTTGGGCTCAATTTTGGTTGTTAAGGTGAGGGCAACCTGTATTTTATATTTTTTTAACACTAAATTTTGCAGGACAATATAGAAACAGCTAGTTCTGAGGAAATTGATGTTAGTTTGCAGCCTATTCCATGTGTGCTCGTTGAATCGTATTCCAACTCTTGGAAAACTTTTTGAGGCTCTTAAGATTATATTTACTCTTTCTTTACAAGCATACACTTGCGTCTGACTTTTGTAAGCTGACTGCTGCATTTGATGTTTCTCTTGAATTTTACCCATGGTTTCCTCGTGATTGCTCGTGCAAGTTTTTTTTTTTTCTTTTCTTTTGAGATACTGCAGCAAATTGACTTTTTAAGAGTTGTGGTCAAAGTCACTATGCCAAACAGAAAAGCTATGAAAGATCCAAATCAAATGTCTCCAGAAATTTGAGTGTCTCTGGAATGCAAAAAAGTTGCTTCCTCCCCTCAACATTAGTATTCTTTCTTTCTTTCTTTCTTTCTTTCTTTCTTTCTTTCTTTCTTTCTTTCTTTCTTTCCTTTCTTTCTTTCCTTCTTTCTTTCTGTCTGTCTGTCTGTCTTCCTCCCTTTCTCCTCCCTCCCTCCCTTCCTTTCTTCTTCCTTCCTTCCTTCCTTCCTTCCTTCCTTCCTTCCTTCCTTCCTTCCTTCTTCTTCTCTCTCTTTCTTTCTTTCTTTCTTTCTTTCTTTCTTTCTTTCTTTCGAAGTTTAGTCTTCTAACTCCTTTGTGTGACCAATAAATGTCTTGAGACTTCTTGCATTCCTGAAAAACCATTTTTTTTTGTGCACAAGAATGAAATTGTTGACTTCTGCCCTTTATTTGGCAGAGATGAGCTATTCCCATTTCTGTCCCTTTATCTGATATCTGATTTGTTTTTACAGTAAAACTTCGTTTATTTCTTTAGAAAGAGACAACATTGACTGAAGCCTTGTGCACTTTAAAATATTTAGCCTGTGGAGATAGATTTCACTGTCAAATTCCTTTCCCTCCCCCCTCCAAATGCCTAGCAGAATTGGACTTAGGGATATCTAAGGCACGCCAGGAAACTTCTGGATGTAATGATCTCTAAAGTCAAGCTGACAGAAATTAGTTGCCTTTTTTCCTCTGCCATTCCTGTTCCTCAGCCTCAATGCAATTTTTTCCCAGTTTCCAGTATTTAGGGCTGGTTTCAGGGGGAAAAAAAGGCTACAGGAATGCATTGATTCACTTAACAACTGCAGTATTCACATAACAACCATTGTGTTCATTTAATGAATACTGCAAAAATGTCATAAACATTGTATGATGTTTTTGCTGAAAATTGGGATTTACTTCCTTTTTTTTTTTTTGGCAAAAGTGCCCCGTTGCAAAGGTGTGCTTTAAAATTGCTGACTGGCTGAAGGTTGACTCAGCCTTCTATCCTTCTAAGATCATTAAAATGAAGATTCAGATTATTGGGGACAAATTTGCTGACGTTGTAAACCACCCAGAGAGTGCTCTAAGCTAAAGCACTATGGGATGGTATATAAGCCTAAATGCTATTGCTATAATTGCAGCAAAAAAGTCATAAAATCAAGTCGGTCACATGGGTGACTCACTTTATAACAGTCATGACTAAAACTGTAATCGGCAAGCTCCGTTAGATTCATAAGTTGAGAATATCTGTATCTCCTTAAAAGCTCTCAGTAGAGAGTTTTACATGAGTTTACAAGACCAAAGAGGTTTGTCTTATTTCCAACTTCAGTCCAGCCACTGTAGCAACAGGCAACTCTGATCATAAGCATCAAAAGCATTTAGTTTCACATTTTCACTGTCACAATTCACAGGAGCTGTAAAAAGCAGCAGAAGAACAATGGCGTGGCATCTGAAAACTCTTTGGAATCTTTTAAATGTTTTTGTCTACACTTTTATAATTAAGTTTTCCTTGTGCAGTTTCTCATCATAACAACCCCTCAAAGTGTCATGCAAATTGCAAGGCATATGCACGCAAAGCCGTGTCCTGAAAAACATGCTTTTTGTCTAGGATGTCCTAAAAAACCCCTTATTTCTCATTTCTTGTTTCTCATTTGGTCAGAGAGGAGTTGAGAATTTTTTTTTCATTGCTTAAGGAGGCGCTTGTCTACTTCTTCTTCAAGAAGCCATATGTGGGACCTTTTCTGAAAAAGGTTCTTGAGAAGGTGGTGGGCCTACAGCTTCAGAAGAAACAGATTATCTGTAACTTTTCGCTCAGATTTCAGACCTGAATGTGGTACAGAGAAGGCACTGATTGTGTTTGTTGGTAGCCTATGGAGGGACTTGAGATGGTGTGCTGAGATGGGGATGTGGGAATGAGAGGCATACAATGATTGTTCCCTTTTTTCTCCAGCATCAGCTTCAGCCTGTGTTGATGAAGGATAGCAGTCTAACTTTCAGCCCCTATTGTGTGAAATTCCTCAGGATTCAACCCAGCAAATAATTTGG